TGGTGTATCTCTCCATGTGTTTGTGTCAGCTTTGATTTCTTTCATCAGCATCTTATAGTTTTCAGAGTACAGGTCTTTTGTCTCCTTAGGTAGGTTTATTCCTAGGTGTTTTATTCTTTTTGATGTGATGGTAAATGGGATTGCTTCCTTAATTTCTCTTTCTGGATCTTTTGTTAGTGTATAGAAATGCAACAGTTTTCTGCGTATCGATTTTCTATCCTGCAACTATACCAGATTCATTGATGAGCTCTAGTAGTATTCTGGTAGCATCTTTAGGATTTCCTCTGTATAGTATCATGTCATCTGCAAACAGTGACAGTTCTTTTCCAACTTGGATTCCTTTTATTTATTTTTCTCTCTGATTGCCGTGGCTAGGACTTCCAAAACTGTGTTGAATCATAGGGGCAAGGGTGGACATCCTTGTCTTGTTTCTGATCTTAGAGGAAATGCTTTCAGTTCACCGTTGAGAATGATGTTACCTGTGGGTTTGTTGTATATGGCCTTTATTATGTTGAGGTATGTTGCCTCTATGCCCACTTTCTGGAGAGTTTTTTTTTATTTTTATTTTTTATCATAAATGGGTGTTGAACTTTGTCAAAAGCTTTTTCTGAATCTATTGGGATGATCATATGGTTTTTATTCTTCAGTTTTTTAATGTGGTGTATCACACTGATTGATTAGCGGATATTGAAGAATCTGGGCATCCCTGGGATAAATCCCACTTGATCATGGTGTATGATCCTTTTAATGTATTGTTGGATTTGGTTTGCTTGTATTTTGTTGAGTATTTCTGCATCTATGTTCATCAGTGATATTGGCCTGTAATTTTCTTTTTTGTGGTATCTTTGGTTTTGGTATCAGCGTGATGGTGGCCTCATAGAATGAGTTTGGGAGTGTTCCTTTTTCTGCAGTTTTTTGGATTAGTTTCAGAAGGATAGGTGTTAACTGTTCTCTAAATGTTTGATAGAATTTGCTTATGAAGCCATCTGGTCCTGGACTTTTGTTTGTTAGGAGTTTTTAAATCACAGTTTCAATTTCAGTACTTGTGATTGGTCTCTTCATATTTTCTATTTCTTCCTGGTTCAGTCTGGGAGATTGTACCTTTCTAAGAATTTGTCCATTTCTTCTAGGTCGCCCATTTTATTGGCATATAGTTGCTTGTAGTAGTCTCTTATGATCCTTTGTATTTCTGTGGTGTTGATTGTAACTTCTCCTTTTGCATTTCTAATTTTATTGATTTGAGCCCTATTCCTTTTTTTCTTGATGAGTCTGGCTAAAGGTTTATCAATTTTGTTTATCTTTTCAAAGAACCAGCTTTTAGTTTCATTGATCTTTTCTATTGTTTTCTTCGTCTCTATTTCTTTTATTTCTACTCTGATCTTTATGATTTCTTTCCTTATACTAACTTTAGGTTTTGTTTGTTCTTCTTTCTCTAGTTGCTTTAGGTGTAAGGTTAGGTTGTTTGAGATTTTTCTTGTTTCTTGAGGTAAGATTGTATTGCTATAAAATTCCCTCTTAGAACTGCTTTTACTGCATCCCATTGGTTTTGGATCATCATATTTTCGTTGTCATTTGTCTCTAGGTATGTTTTGATTTCCTCTTGGATTTCTTCCGTGATCCATTGGTTGTTTAGTGGCATATTGTTTAAGCCTCCACATGTTTGTGTTATTTAGTTTTTTTTTTTCCTGTAATTGATTTCTAATCTCATAGCATTGTGGTTGGAAAAGATGCTTGATATGATTTCAGTTATCTTAAATTTACCGAGACTCATTTTGTGGCCTAGCATGTGATCTGTCCTGGAGAATGTTCCATGTGCACTTGAGAAGACTGTGTATTCTGTTGCTTTTGAACAGAATACTCTATAAATTAAGTCCATCTGGTCTAATGTGTCATTTAAGGCCTGTGTTTCCTTATTGATTTTCTGTCTGGATGATCTCTCCAATGATGAAAGTCGGGTGTTAAAAGTCCCACACTATTATTGTTACTGTTGATTTCTTCTTTTATGGCTGTTAATATTTGCCTTTTCTCCTCCCCTCACTTTCAGTTTGTATGTGTCCCTAGATCTGAAGTGGGTCTTTGGTAACATATATATGGGTCTTGTTTTTGTATCCAGCTAGTCTTTGTCTTTTGGTTGGAGCATTTAATCCATTTACATTTAAGGTAATTATCAATATTTGTATTCTTATTGCCATTTTGTTGATTGTTTTGGATTTGTTTTCCTAGTTCTTTTATCTTCCTCTATTGTTCTCTTGTGATTTGATGACTAATGTTAGTGTTGTGTTGGATTCCTTTTTCTTGTTTGTGTATTGTAGATTTTTGGTTTGCAGTTATTGTTAGGTTTTGAAATAGCAGTCTATATATAAACAAGATTAAGTTCCTGTTCTTTTAATTTCAAATGCATTTCCAATATTCTGCATTTGTGCTCTCCCCTTCTCACAGTTGCTGGCTTTGATATCATATTTGTGTGTAGATGACTTCCTGCCTTTACTCTATGTTTGCCTTTATGGGTGAGCTTTTCCATTTGTAATTTTCTTATTTCTAGTTGTGGCCTTTTCTTTTCCACCTAGAGAAGTTCCTTTAGCATTTGTTGCAAAGCTGGTCTGATGATGCTGAATTCTCTTACCTTCTGCTTGTCTGTAAAGCTTTTGATTTCTCTGTCGAATCTGACTGAGAGCCTTGCTGGGTAGAGTATTCTTGGTTTTAGGCTCTTCCCTTTCATCACTTTAAATATATGGTGCTACTCCCTTCTGGCCTGCAGAGTTTCTGATGAACAATCAGCTGGTAACCTTATGAGAGGTACCTTGTATGTTATGTGTCATTTTTCCCTTGTTGTTTTTAATATTTTTTTCTTTGTCTTTAATTTTTGCCAATTTGATAACTATCTCTCTCGGCATGTTCCTCCTTGGATTTATCCTGCCTGGGACTCTCTGTGCTTCCTGGACTTGGGTGACTGTTTCCTTTCCCATGTTAGGCAAATTTTCAACTATTATCTCTTCAAATATTTTCTCAGGTCCTTTCCCTCCCTCTTCTCCCTCTGCGACCGCTATCATGCAAATGTTGGTGCGTTTCATGTTGTTCCAGAGGTCTCTTAGACTGTCTTCATTTCTTTCCATTCTTTTTTCTTTATTCTCTTCTGTGGCAGTGATTTCCACCATTCTGTCTTCCAGCTCACTTACCTGTTCCTCTGTCTCAGTTATTCTGCTATTGATTCCTTCCAGTGTATTTTTCATTTCAGTTATTATATTGTTCATCTCTGTTCTTTAGTTCTTCTGGGTTTTTGTTAAACATTTCGTGTATCTTCTTGATCTGTACCTCCTTTTTCTGAGATTTTGGGTCATCTTTACTATCATTACTCTGAATTCTTATTTGGGTAGACTGCCTGTCTCCACTTCACTTACTTTTTCTTCTTGGGTTTAATCTTATTCTTTCATCTGGGACATATTCCTCTGCCATCTCATTTTGTCTAGCTTTCTGTGACTGCAGTTTCTGTTTCACAGGCTGTAGTTCTTGCTTCTGCTCTCTGCCCCCTGGTAGATGAGGCTAAGAGGCCTGTGAAGGCTTCCTGGTGAGAGGGACTGGATCCTGCCCACTGGTGGGTGGAGCTGGGTCTTATCCCTCTGATGGGCAGGGCCATGTCAAGGGGTGTGTTTAGCGGACAACTATGTGCTCAGGAAGACTCTAAGCAGCCCACCTACTTATGGGCGAGGCTGTGTTCCCACCTCGTTGGCCGTTTGGCGTGAGGCGTCCCAGCACTAATGCCCACAGGCTGTTGGGTGGGGCCAGGTCCTAGTGAGGAAATGGTGGCCTCTGGGAGGGCTCATGCCAATGAGCACTCCTCAGAACTATCGCTGCCAGTGTCTTTGTCCCCACAGTGAGCCACAGCCCCCTGCCTCCACAGAAGACCCTCTGGTATCAGCAGGTAGGTTTGGCCCAGGCTCTTATGAGGTTACTGCTTTTTTTCTGTATCCTGCTTTGCATGAGACCTTGTCTGCACCCTCCAAGAGTGTAGTTTCTGTTTCCCCCAGTCCTGTGGAATTCCTGTGAACAAACCCTGCTAACCTTGAAAGCCAGATTCTCTGGGGGCTTTTCCTGTTGCCAGACCTCCAGGCTGGAGATCCCGACGTGGGACTCAGAACTTTCACTCCTGTGGGAGAACTTCTGTGGTATAATTATTTTCCAGTTTGTGGGTTGCCCACTGGTGGGCGTGGTATTTGATTTTATCGCAGTTGCGCCTCTCTTACCATCTCTTTGTGGCTTCTTCTTTGTCTTTGGATGTAGGATATGTTTTTTGGTAGGTTCCAGCATTTTTTTGTCAGTGGTTATTAAGCAGTTGTGATTTTGGTGATCTTGTAAGAAGAGGTGAGCTTACATCCTTCTGCTCTGCCATCTTGTCTCCATCTCCTCTAATCACTGTTTTATACGCTACTTTCTTCCATGTTTTATTGGCTCCTTTTTTTCCCTTGCGCTTAGTTCAGTTTCACTTGTTCATAGGTTGCTGGTACAGAGGCCTCTCACCCAGGACTTCAGACAAGCATCCCTAGTGTGAAATGGCTCTCTCATCGCTAACTTTTTATTTTTAACATATAGCTCTTTTAGTGTGTGATGGTTGTATACATTTATTTGTACAAGCCTGCAGTTTCTCCCACTGAGGGATGATCCATGGAGACAGCAGTAGCTGTGTCTGCCCTTCCTGTTTCCCCAGGCCTGGAACGGTGCCTGCCGGTTTGAGGGTGCTCAGGTGCACATGGCTGGAGGGGCTGAATGGATCCATGAGTAGTTCCCATATTCTAGGTGAGGAAAGCATGCCTCAGGAAGGTTACGGAACCATTCGGGGATGCACTGCTGGTAAATGAGAGAGTTCCATTCTCACACTCAGGCCTTCCACTCAGGGCCTGAGCTCCAGCCCTTCCCTGTGGCCTCTTGATCATCATCTGGTTCCAGGTTAGGACAGAACATTGTTGGCATGATTCACATTCTCTCTCTCTCTCGTTCCTCCACAGACGACGTGTGTTTCTCCCCACCCCACGGCTGCAGCCCTCACTGTTGCACGGTGGCCCTGACCCTGTCTGCCATGGTGGGAAGCTCAGCCCGGCCCCAGGCCAGTACTCCGAGCAGCTGGAAGTCGGCCCCACCAGCTCTGGGCGGCTTCGGGGGCTGCTCTGAGCTTCAGAGAAGAAAATCCATCTCCAGCGCCCTGTGTGTCTGGCTGAGGCCTTTCCTGCTTTGCAGTGGTTTGTGGGGGAGAGGACCTTTCAAGGGGGGTGTGGACAGACGCCAGGACTCCCTCAGCCTCAGGGAGAAGGACATGTTTGCAGAGCTTTGAGGTCGCCTGTTTCGGCAAGTTCTGGACTGGGATGGGGGGGCTGGCTGGGTGGGTGGGGGGTGTCCCTGAAGGGGTGGGGGTGGCAGCACTGACAGCATGGTCTTTGGCTCAGGGCTTCCCTATTGGTGTTGTAATGTCTCCCCACAGATAATGTCCCAGGCCTTTGGGAAACAGGTGCATCGGGGCTGAGAGCAGAATGTGCTGTGGAGAAAGTCAGCACATTAAGGGAGGGATCCCTTCAGTGACGCCCACCAGTCTCCATTAGCAAATGACACCCAGACCCCCAGGGTTAATAGGCCCCTCCCCAGAGTTGGGCCTTGCCCCCAGTGACCTCACCACCTCCTGGTCAGGCCAGCTATGCCACAGGATACTGTGCCTAGGTGCAGATGCACGTGGAGACCAGGGGATGGCCCCATCACCTCCCCTCAGAGCCCAGCCCAAGGGCTGACAGGAGCATGGTCACCCTAGAATATGGCAGTACCCTCCAAGACCAGCAGCAGATATGAGCTGGGGACCACAGAGGGACTCCAGGGTGCCCACTATAGATCCCACCAGGGCTGGACACATCTCAACTTGGAGGATGACAAGGTCCATGACACCAGCCCCCCATCCAGTGTCCGCTGTCCTCTGACATCTTGCCCTTCCAGCTGGTAATGGGATCTGGCCCCTTTGCCCCCTGAGCTCAAAAACAATGGTCCCAAGAAAACTGCCAACCATTTGTTCATTTTTTCCACCTCCCAAGTCATTGTACTCATAGGTACAACCTCAGCATCTGGGGTTCTGGAGAGGTTGGCTCCTGCCAGCGGCCCTCCTCACACCTAGTGTTAGAGTTTCTGGGCTGGTCCTTCGCTTGCCCCAGTGCAAGGCCATCAGCTGCCACTTGGGAAAAAGCCAAAAGTGGAAGGCACATCTCCAGGTTCTTTAGACCCCACCTGTATGAGAGGCTGACCTCTTGCTCTTGGTGCTTCATCTCAGCCACCTAGAAGCCTGGTGGCTTGTCCCAGGAGATGGCTCTGCCTGAGATTTGGGGAGGCCCTGGGGCTGGTGGGGAAGCAGCAGCCCCAGGTCCAGAGCCCACACTGCCTGGAGGGGCCCCTGTGGCCTGTTGCATTGCTGAGCCGAGTTAAGCACAGATCTCACAGCACAGAGGACCTCGCAGTGGTGCTTTTCCCAAAAGTTGTGTTGCTTTTATCCGTTTCTAACTTAATAAAAGAGTTAAGAAAAATCTTGCTTTCTTTGGGTGCTGGGGTCAGTCTTGCAGGACATTAAGGCACAAGCAGACTGATTTCCACCCCACCAGCCAGGGCTCACAGTCTGGCCCTCTGGGGGGTTAAGGGAGATTCACCTTCTTCAAGCACCTGCAAGCACGCAGAGGAGAGGGCTTCCTGTCCTCAGATTGATTGTTTCAGCAGCAGAAGCCTTTACACTGATTCTCATACTTTTTTCCTGAAAAATCCGTGCGTGGGTGGACTCTAACTTGAAGATGTAATTCCATTGATTTCCATGTGTTCTTTTGTGTGCTGTGAACCCCCAGTTGACACTCAATTGTGTGAAAATAACACAAGCAGCATTAAGACAGGCATCAATACTCCAGTGGCTAGCATCAGTTATCACGACACAAATGCTAATGCTCATGTTCACCTGCTCTCCTTTCACACATTTTCACAGCTATTATGAACCATAAACTCAAGAATGTGGACACAGGGCTGTGACAGCCACAGATTAAAGAGGAGGCCCTTCCCAACATCCCACTACAGGCCCTGAACACCACAACATCAAACAAACAAACACACCACCTATCAAGGGGACAACGGCCAACACACCTTGGAGAAAGACGAGGCTGGCATCCATTCCAAAAACAGCCCTTGCACCAAAAATACTGGATTCACACAGCCTACACAGGGATGCCCCACATAAAAACACCCCTTCAAGACCACAGTTGGTAATTGTTTCTTCTAAATTTGTAGAGACAAACAAAATAAAAAAGCAGAGGAACTAATCCCAATTAAAAGAACAAAAGAAATCCTGTGAAAGAACAAATAATGAAGCAGACCTCACCAGTCTACTAGACCCAGAGTTCAAAGAGGAGGTAATAAAAAAAAAGTAAGAAAGGTTATTGATAGAAATGCAGATCACTGTAACAAAAATTAGACACTACAAAGAGGAACCAATCAAACAACTGCTGAGATAAAAACCAATCTAGAAGCAGTGAATAGCAGACTAAAAATGCAAAACAGTGAATAAGTGATCTGGAAGATAGAATAATGGAAATCACCCAATCAAAACAACAGAGAGACAAATGAAAAAAAAGAAAACATGTATGGGACAATATAAAACCTGCCAACTTACACATAATAGGGGTTTCAGAAGAAAAATAAGAGAAGGGGATCAAAAATGTATTTGAAGAAATTATGGCTGAAAACTTCCCAACCCGAAAAAATGAAACATATCCAGGTACAGGAAGCACAGGAAGTTCCAAACAGACCCACACCAGGATATATCATAGCTAAAATGGCAAAAGTTAAAGAGGACTCTAAAGGCAGCAAAAGAAAAAGTCAGTTACAAGGGAACCCACGTAAGACTATCAGCTGATTTCTCTGCAGAAAATTTGCAGGCTGGGAGTGGGTGGCAGGATATATTCAAAATCGTGAAAGAAAAAAAGCCTGCAGCCTAGGATACTGTATCCAGAATGTACCCATTTAGCTAGAAGGAGAGAGAAAGAATTAATCAGACAAGCAAACACTAAAAGAATACAGCAATACTAAACCTAACCAAAAAGAAATATTGAAAGGTCTTCTCTAAATAGAAAAGCAAGAATCTATAGGAAAGGGAAAATCACAATGGGAAAGGCAAATTACATAAGAGGATTAAAATCATTTATATAAACCAGTACATACATTACAATCAAAAAATTTTTGTAGAAGTGATTATAACTTTTAGAATGTGTTTGAATGTATACGACTGTAAGTCTAAAGCAAGTAGATATAGCTATGAGTTAACATACTTGAAAACCATGGTAACTGCAAAGGAAAAGCATACGATAGACTCACAAAAGCCAAAAAAGAAAGGAACTCAAGCATAACAAAAAAGAAAACCATCAAACCACAAAAGGAAAAATAAATGAACAAAGAACTACAAGATCAGCTAGAAGACAAGGTTTAAAATGGCAATAAGTGCATACCTATCAGCAATTACTATCAGTAATTACTGATAGTAATTGACCTATCAGTCAATAGACTAAATGTTCCAATCAGAAGACATCAAGTGGCAGATTGGATAAGAAGACGACCTACAATATGCTGCCTAGAAGAGATTCACTTTAGAGTGAAAGACTCGCACAGATGGAAAGTGAGGGGATGGAAAAAGCTTTCATGCAAATGGAAATGATGAGAAAGTGGGGGGTCGCAATACTCATCAGACAACATAGACTTTAAAACAAAGTCCGTTAAAAAAAAAACACAAGAAGGACATTATATGATGATAAAGGGATCAGCACAGGAAGAGGATATTGCACTTGTTAACATATATGCACCCAGTACAGGAGCACCTAAATATATAAAACAAATAATGTCATAAAGCAAGAAATTGATGGGAATACAATAATAGTAGGAGACTTTAACACCCCACTGGCATCAATGAACAGATCTTCCAGACAACAAGGCGACAGAACCTAAATGATACAGTGGAACAGTTAGACTTGATATCTACAGGACACTACATCCAAAAAAACCAAAATACACATTCTTTTCAAGTGCACATGGAACATTCTCTAGGATAGACCACATACTAGGTCACAAAATAAGTCTCAACAGATTTAAGAGAATAGAAATTATTTCAAGCATCTTTTCTGAACACAACGGTATGAAACTAGAGATCAATCACAGGAAAAAACCGAATACATGGAGAGTAAACAACATGCTAGTAATGATCAAATCAGAGGAAATCAGAAAATACCTTGAGACAAATGGCAATGAGAACACAACCTTATAAAATCTATGGGATGCAGCAAAACAGTTCTAAGAGGGACGTTCATAGCGATACGGGCCTTCCTCAAGAAATAAGAAAAATCTCAAACAACCTAACCTACCACCTAAAAGAATTAGAAAAAAAAGCCCAAAGTCAGCAGAAGGAAGGAAATAAAAAGAGAGAAAATAGAGTTTAAAAAAACAACAAAACAACAATGAAACTAAGATGGTTTTTCAAGAAGATAAATCAACAAACCTCACCAAGAAGAAAAAAGAGAGGACCCAAATAAACAAAATAGGAAATGAAAGAGGAGAAATAACTACTGATACCACAGAAATACAAAACACAAAACAAAACAAAAAAAAACTAGAATACTATGAACAGTTACATGACAACAAATTGGATAACCTAGCGGAAATGGACAAGTTTCTAGAAATATACAGCCTGCCAAAATTGAGTCAAGAAGAAACATAATTTGAACAGACCAGTCACTAGAAGTGAAATAGAACCTGTAAAAAAAAAAAAAAAAAATCCCTGCAAACAAAAGTCCAGTGCTGGACGGCTTCACTGGGGAATTCTACCAAACATACAAAGAAGAACTTATGCCAATCTTTCTCAAACTCTTCCAAAAGACTGAAGAGGAGGGAACAGACCCAAAGTCATTCTGTGAAGCCATTATCACCCTGATACCAAAACCAGACAAAGACACTACAAAAACAAATCACAGGCCAATATCTTTGATGAATATTGATGTGAAAATCCTCAACAAAATATTAGCAAACCTTGGCAACCAGCAGCCTAGTGAGCAGGACGCACGCATCAGGATCACCAGGCAGCAGGGACTCGTGGTATCCCCAGGCACATGGCATGGTCCCAATCCTTCTGGTAAACATTTCTTGGCCTGGGATTGGGGCTGGGGATCAGGAATGGGGGACTTGGCAACTTGT